CGTTCTAGAACCCACGCACAATCAGCTTAACTCCGAGTGATGAGGCGATGTTTTTCTCCCATTCTTTTTTCCCTTGCTTTTCTTTTTGCTGCCGCGATCCCCTATTCAATTTCCTACTCCTAGAGGCTGAAAAAGGTGAGCTACTTTTGCTGTTACTAGGGGTTTTTTTGTTTTTTGTTTATTTATGCTTATAAGTGAATGAATTTTTGCTTCTTCTTCATTTTTCTGGTTTCATTCTCGTCCAGCCCCCTTTTTAACGGTTTTCAAGCCTTTTTTCACTTTGGTACCACCGATGCACGCAGTTTCTTCACCTCAGCCGCACTAGTTTCGATCTAGTCTTCCATTTTCCATCATAAACTGGATTGCCCAAAATTATCGTGAACTGTGCCTTTAAGGCTCGTTGAACAGTAGCAAATATTGTTTAGTGAAAAGCTCAGGAATTGTAATTATTTTCCGAACGACTTCATACAAGCGTGTTGTAGGAATGGATTTCAGATGAGTGGTTATAATTCGCTTAATATCAGACAGTAATGAAGACGAAGAAAGGCGCGTGTTACGATTACAGACCTACGAATGAACACGATTTTCTTCCTGCAGAATTGCAGCAACCCGATTCGTAGGGGGCAAACTAACCTGTGAAGATAGACAACTGCTCCATAGACAATCCCAACCACAGCAATCACAAAAATCCAATGCTTGAATCCAATAGCTTCCTAAACCATTGCACCATTACGACTGAAATGAAAGTATCGCCCCAAATTACTAATGACTAGGAAGGAAACTAAAGCAGAAAGGTAACAGGGTTGGAATTGACAATGAGAAAGGGAATTCAATCGTCTTATTCTTTCAAAGTCTAGAGATTGCTGCGCTTTACCTATATGATCTCAATAGAATACATCAGTAAGAGAGCGAGGTATCTCTTCGCCCATGTAAAACAATTTGACGAGGAGTTACTACGTAGGTAGATTTCAGTCCTTCATCCTCTGCGATAATCGTCAAAATATTCGCGGAAATTCTCCCTTTTTATAAATAACTTCCGACTGAGCATAAGGTGCTTTATATTTCGTACCCCAGAAAAAATCGACTATGAACAGGTGAGTAGGCATTAGAACTCACAGATGTTCGCCGTGCTTTGTCATTCAGAAGCTCGTACTGCGTATGAGTTTGTGTGCCATTTGCCGATGCCGTGGTAATGCGCCGCCGCACCTCCATCTAGAAACTCAAGTAAAACACCCATGCAAAGCCCATGCAAGATCGGTTGACTGGTAGTTTTTGGCTTATAGAAGATACTGGCACGTTTTTGTAAGGTAGTAAACGACTTATTCGATATCAAATATAGGGAAGATTCGTATTTTCCTAGATAAAAGAGCAAGCAAGCAGTGTAGGTTAATCGATAAACTCGAAACAGTGTAATAAGATCTAGGTTACCTGCAAAACGGCACAGATCAGGCCTCAGCAAATTATTGCCTTTTGTAACAACTATGAAAACGAGTATTTTAATGTATTAATCAGCCAGTACATTACGCAACTAACCATAAGATATGTGATGGTCGCTACATTGAAAAGAACTTGATGGAACGATGATGATGAAGAGCAGAAGTGATTTCTGGGTGTTTTTGCTAATGAGCAGGCTATTGATAGCAAGGATTCCCTTTAGTCCCCTGCTCTTCATGGTTAACGGTAAGACACCGCTTACGCTAAACCGAAACACAACGGAAACACTGACGCAAGAAAACCTCCTGATTCACTCAATAAATAGGAACCGCTACATCTGTAGAAGAAAAACTGTTCAATCAATACAAACATTGTGCATAACACTGCCACCACTAGCCACTTTCACTCTCAAGGAATTTTGTGAGAAATGGTTTGTTTTGATGGTAATCGCTAGATAAGTAGGCAGTTGAGTTTATGCGGCGATCAAAGAAATAGAGCTTTAAGCATTACTAAATTTAGTCACTCTATCAACGCATATATGGCTATGCAAAGCAATAAGACGCCTAACCGACAATAGAGAATTTCTGCGTCCCATATGAGAAAGAAAATGAAGGAGGTAGGCACGGAAAATACAAAAGTACAGATGTCTTAACTGTACTCTAGCTGCTCTCAGGAAAAAAACTCCCGCTCGATCACNGCATCAGTGACTGTCGCGATCTACCATTACCGCCTGTGAATGTTATGAGTTCCTCTATCTCTACGATTAGATTACGGCTCTGCAGTTATCTTCATGGTATTTGCAGAAGATAAGCAGCACGGTAACGCGCCTGCATTTAATCACTGTAATCAAGCATGCACATGGACAGTTCCAGCTTGCAATGTCGAAAAACTCTCAGTCAGACAAATTCAACTGAAAAAATAACGAATGTCAGGTAAGTGTACGTTACTAAACGATATAAAGAAAGTCAACGACTGGGAAGAAAAGAATTTATTGGACTGATTGCATTGTAATATAAAGTAAAAGCTACTGACCTTGGTGATTGTCATAAATACAGCAACAAAAAAGACACGAATGATCTAATTTGGAACAAAACATTTGGAACATAAATCTACACGACAAATTTTCATACAAGTTATTCCAAAAAGTAATTCCACGGTCACAAGAGGTTGAGTTTTATGATTAATCGAGCAAAGTGGTAACAACCATCATATTCGTAACAAAAATTTGCGGAGAATATTTCACTGCGCATTCCATCCGTCAGTAGCGCCTATCCCGCCTGAAAAGATGTCTATGGTTGCATCGAAACTTTTACAAAGATCGACAAGCCATTGTGTGATAAGGGGAGTTTATGAAGGTCAGGACTCACACTGAGAAGTCGCGCCTCCTTGGTAATATAAGAGCGTGACCTTCACAAGAGTCCATTGCCAGGGCAACTACCCTTTTTGCGATCATGGAAACTGTGGAGATCGACTGAGATCATCGATGTGTTGTAGCATCGACCGTTACTGTGTATTTTGAGCGATAGAGAGAAAAAAGTTACCTGTCTCTGTCACGATCTGATTTTCTTCCGGAACTACCATGGCGGTCTTCACGTTCTCGATCACGTCGACGATCGCGATCGCGGTCGTTGGAACGAGAACGACTAAAAGTAGATGAACATAAACATCCTCGCTGGTAGAAAGTGAAGGATTTTCCTTGTTGAGATCTCGAAGGGCATTTATACAGTCATCCTTTTCAATTTTGTTTGGAAGACCTCTTTATTTCATAAGCGTATATCTCATATCTCCAAGTAAAGGGTGCAACAGGGATTTGCTGCAAAAGGGATCTGCTCCTTATGGCAGGTGAGATATGCGTTGTGCGTTCAAACACAAAGTTTAAACAACCTGTCACCTCAGCCCTGTTCATCAAATCAAAAATTGACCGATTATATTTCCGCTCAATCTGCTTGTGTCACTATTAGTCCGAATCACAAAGAATGTTTATGTACTTTTTTTGCCCTTATCGCTTCACTCATGCTGAGTTCAAGCGATATGGGATAGAACTGAAGACCTTGCCACAGTAAATTCAAATGACGTCGCTCACAGTCGATTCGACGATTGCTAGCCACTACTGCCTAAAAGGACGGCGGAATACCTCTTTATCGAGGGTGGCCGAAAAGAACGGAGTCGGTGAGGAGAAATGCTTCAAAAGCACATTTCATGATAAAAACGGTTCCTGAGATATCCCTCTGGGCTACATCTGGAGCCTATCATGTCGGAAAACGGCCTAAATAGGGCGATATAAGGGACTGAAGATTGGATCGTCCGCATGCCACACCAAAGGTGGACGAGCAGACGGCACTGCAGATACTGCACCATTCACAAGGGAACCCATGTAGAATGTTCAAACAACTTGTCCTGACCACAGTGAAAGGCAATTCTGGATATTTTTGTCTTGATTTAGTCCGCTTCTTGCGCGATTGCAACAACTGCAATCTCGTCCGAATACCCCTCCCACGTTATTTCCGTCATGGTATCCGTACAACTCCTATCTTCAATACTTTTGAAAAGCTTTTTCCATCGCGGACTCTGCGGATATTCTCGCTTTCTTGCCACCGATGCACTGTTCTCAACGAATACTTCCTCTTTACGAATGAAAAAGGGTATCTCAAATTACCGTGAACTGTGCCTTTAAGGCTTACTATTAATATTAACATCATCAAGGATAACTTGTAGGTTAGACTTAGAAGCTACTTATTTGCGATGGGCTTGGAAGCTTCTCGGTGGATTACCATCATGGGATAAAATACATTATCATTCACACCAACAGTTCGATCTGAATGGCGTGTCTGCTGTCTGGAATGGAAATTTCGATGGGAACCATCCTCCACAGGATTGGCACAACATTGGCTGAAAAACGTCTTGAAAGCGACCAGTGCTTTCAGATGAGGTCAGCACATCTACACTAACGAGCAGATGGTATTATTGGTGATCGGTTCCAATTGTTCGTTCTTGAAGAACGACCTGTGATTTTCATTGGTGCTTTTGGGAAGAACGCTCTGCACCTAAACCGTTATGAATGCAGCTGATCATCATGAGAAACGGACTCATTCTGATACTCCTTTCGAGCTCAATATTTTTTAATGTTTCAGCATGGGTCAGAAAGCAACATTATATACGACTTAGCAGCTGATCAGAAAAAAGCGAACTGCATGTGGAACACTTAGGTAATCAGGAGGGTAGAGAAGGGACCAAACAACCAGTTCCACACTTTCCAACCTTGACGCTTACGCTCTACGCTTCAGAGACATGAGTTCCGCGCGCAGGACATGATTGCAGTTATCGTCACACAACGCGTTGTGGAAAGAGCAATGCTAGGAATTTCCCGTTACAAGCAACTTTGAAAAAGGTTTCCGAATAGAATGATCGGTTAATGGGGTGCAAAGGTCAAGAATGATAGCACATATGAAACTACACTTTCTCGCGCAAGAATTCTTTATTATAGATGTATACACATGCGCAGGCTATCCATCGATTGATTAAAATCCAATCTTACTGCGAAGCCCGAGGGCAGATCGCGCTTGCGCTCAATATCAAGTATAGGAACATCAAAATGTGGCCAGCCGATCTCAAGTCAGCGCTTCTTGTTCTCCGAGACGAATCGGGATCCAACTAAGCAAGCTCAAAACTCTCTCCCAAGTGTGAGAGGAACCGCCAAGGTCAAAGGCACCATTCACAGCTAAACATTGTTACTGAGATTTCTCCCTAGCATGAACCTGCGGGCCCCATCGAAAAACGACCCAGATAGAGCGTAATAAGGGCTCCAAAGCCGGTTTGGCCGACCAACACACCTCGCGGCGTTGATGGAGGATGCACCAT